AGAGGACTTCAAAACAAAAGCGGAAAATCATTAACTATGTTTATGGCCTATAGAGCTCCATGACCTATGGAAATTGATCATTTCATACCTTAAGATGTCTATAAATTTCTTTAGTGAGTCTTTTTAAAGGTTTAAAATGCCTGCATGTGAATTGGAGCCACTTGAGTAAAGTGCCGAACTAGGGCATTTTCCCCCTAGACACCATAGATTGTCACAACTGATTATTTATAGAATAATGTACATTTTTAATCATTTAAAAAGAAAGGGACAAGTGAGGAAGGTTAAAGGCACTGGGACTTTGGTCAGAAGTGAGTGAGGCATGTGCACAAGTGGAGGTGTAAAGTTGTACTCCTAAAACATACAGTATGTAAATGATGGGCAAATGAGGGAAAAGGAAATATGTTTAAAAGTTCAAAATTATGTTAAGTCATTTGAGAACTTTAAATCACTACTCTTGCTAATAGTAAGGTCACATGGTCATGGAGAGGGAAAGGATACTGTTTTCAAAGTTAGAGTTGTGTTGTAGGTAAAGCAGTAAAGCTGTTTGCCAGTAATGCCATCATGTTTGTAATATATTTTAAAGTATTAATATTTAATAACTTACCAAGCAACAGAAAATGTTCCATAAAGGTGATATGGGTAGTGGAAAAATACAGCAGAGATCTCAAAAGGTCTAGTTCCCTAGTTGTGTTCATTTTTAGCCCCATCTCCTTGAGGAACTGTAACTTAACCTTATGAAGCTTCAGGTTCTTCAGAAATAATATGCAGAGCATATACTTATTCTTTTTTCCTACTAACACATTAGGATTATTAGGGAATGAAATTTAAAAATAAAAAAGGTACCTTGTAAACATAAAGCTCCATGAAAGTACAAATATTTTTAAGACAGAATATCTTAACACATGCTGTCCAATGTTGTTATCTGCTAATGATTCCGCTACATAAAAAAAAAAAATTTCAGACCCTCCCTGGTGACACAGTTAAAGCACAGCACTAAGAAGCTAAGTCCACTTCAGTATGAGTTCAATCCCCAGCCCCGGAGGTGACCCACGTGACGCAGCAGACCTCTCCTGACCCACCCGCTGCTCCCCTCAGCAGTGTACTTTATAAGTCTGCCTATTCTGCTCCCCACTCTGTCTCTGGTGAATCCTCTCACCACCCCTTCATCTCTGGCCTGTACCCAGTTCTGTATGCATCCATAAATAAATCTTAAAAAAAAAATCCAAATTTGTTCCAGATCTACTAAACATCATTCCAAAGCAAGTTTTAATACAAGTAATTCTGATTTAAAAAAAAACAACATCTCAAATTAAGTTTAAAAACTTAAATGACTTGGCCCTCCCTGGTGGCGCAGCGGGTTAAAACACTGCACTGAGAAACTAAAGCCACTTCCTCATGAGTTCGATTCCCGCCTGCCCCGGAGGTGACCACATGGCGTGGCAGACCTCTCCTGACCCGCCCACTGCTCCCCTCAGCAGTGTACTTGTCGATCTGCCTGTTCTGCTCCCCGCTCTGTGTGTGGTGAATCCTCTCACCCTCCGCATCTCTGGCCTGTACCCCAGTTCTGTATGAATAAATAAATAAATCTTTAAAAAAAAAAAAAACTTAAATGACTTATGAAATTGGTGTTAGGAAATAGAAGTCCCACAAACATTTCTAATCCTCAGACTACGGATGATCCTCTTGGAGGTAAACAAATATTAGACAGATTTAGTCAGAATCGTGGTACAATTCAGAGATTTATTCTTTAAACAAAATGGATTATATAGAAATGTATTTTGATAGAATTAGTCAGAATCGTGGTACAATTCAGAGATTTATTCTTTAAACAAAATGGATTATATAGAAATGTATTTTAAATAGAAGGAAATAGAAAATCCTTGTGACTTAGGCTCAGTTCTTTCCTACTATTTTGGCCTTTCCCCTTCTTACCCTTTAATTTTGAATTTCAACATTGAATTACTGATGATTTTTAAAGACTTAATTTATTTATTTATGCGTACCAGAGCTGAGGTGCAGGCCAGAGGTGCAGGAGGTGAGAGGATTCACCAGAGAAAGAGTAGGGAGCAGAACTGGCGAATTGACTGAAATCCACTGCTTAGAGCAGCAGTGGGTGAGACAGGAGAGGTCTGCTGCATCAGGTGAGTTAGCTAGCTCCCTATCTCCTTGGCTGGGATCGAAGTCCTGTTACAGTGGCTGCTGATAGCTTTTTAGTACTAAGACTTAACCCTCTGTGCCACAGGGAGGCCCTGGACTACTTAAGGATTTTAGAAGCCTAAGTTTTACTGCCTGTCATGGTTTTTGTACATCTGGATACATCTACTTAAAAGACCAGGTATCCAAAATTCTACCCTCTGAATTTATAGATAATGTCTAATTTGCAATTTATTTTTTTATTTTTTTACTTCTACAATCCCAAGTCTATGTTTCAAAAGGTTAAGAGGTGGAAGTTGGAAAGCAAGTTGGAAAAATTATGGGCGTTAACCTGAAGTACCAAGTTAAGGAGTTGGGGTTTTATTCTTTAGGAATAAATAGAGTGCTGCTTTATAAAGATTACTGGACAGTCAACATGTTAGAATCTCTGAGTTGGATTAGAGGTGGAGAACGACTTATTGTCAGATTATGAGGCAGAGTTAATAGAAACATAATTAGATCTGAGGAAAAGCAGAGCAAACTTTCATTCAAAAAGTATAGAGAATGCATACAACAAAGACAACTTTAGAGAAATGAATAAATGAATATCAAACAGATATTCACAAAGTAGATACAGGAAGTAAATTGAAAAATTTAATACCTATTCATGATAAAAACTCTACACAAGCAAAGAATAAGAAAAATTTCCTCAGCCCGATGAAGGTCAACTACAACAAAATCTTATAGCTAATATACTTAATGGTGAATTCTTTCCCTCTTAAGATCAGGAACAAGGCAAAGATTTTTCTCTCTTGTCATTTCTATTCAGCATTGTACTGAAGGTAACAGTGCAATAAGGCAAGAACAAAAAGACGTATATACCTTGGTAAAGAGAAAAGCTCTTCATTTATACATGGGATCTTGAGTGTAGACAATCCTGTGGAATCAACAGTTTTAACTAATGTGAGATTAGTAGGGTCACAAGACACACTCAAATCTGTATATAGCTATCGTGTGTTATTAATAACTAAAGTAATGCCTTTACAATACTATTTATAATAGTTTCAAAAACATTGAAATGCCTAAATATAAATTTAACAAATATTGGACAAGACATATACACTGTAAGAGTCTGGCAAGATGACAGCAGAATAGATTACAGACTTCTAGACTTTTGTATTCCAATCTTAACATTTTGTTCCCAATTTTTAATTTTTCTCATTCTCTATCTTAATAATTTATTAGATAATAACTAATGCTTTATTTGCATAATTATTCTAATTTTAATTTTACTGCTATTGTAATCATCATGCTTGCTCTTCAAGTGATTGATCCTTTATGTATATTTACCTTTTCCAGTGAGATTTCCTTCATGTTTTCTTGCTTTTAGTTAGTACCATTTCTTTTTCGCTTAAGAAAACCCCCCTTAATATTTCTTGCAAATATCTTTAGTATTGATGAATTTAATACTTTAGATTTTGCTTGTCTGGGAAACTCATTAAAAGAATTTTCCAATACTAAGTGATGAAATGACTGTTTCGGGGCCTGGGAATACTATTACCATTAACTTATATGTAGAAAATTTTTAGTGTTTGCAGACTTAAAAAATATCATACCAAATAGGAGCATTCTACTTTCATATAGTAGGGAAAACCTGTAAAGTGACAGTTCCATACAAGTCTCCCCAAAAACACATTGTGGCTTTAAGTAAAAAGATAAGTTACCAATTGTGAAAAGTAATATTCATTATAACCATAAGTGAACAGGTGGAATTTTAGCAAGGAGAGCTCTGAAGAGAGCATCATGGACAAGTGGCACTTTTAGGAGGGGAAAAAAGCATGTAAAAATGGGAAAGCACAGGGCATATGTATTAGGAAATATGGTGTGTGTGTGTGTGCACGTGTGTGCATGCTTGCGTGCATGGGTGTGCGTGCACATGAGGAAATTGTAGGAAATAAAACTGGAAAGAGAGGGTCAGATTTGGTAAGCATAGAGATTATCAGTAGGTAAATTATAGAGCCTGCTCTGCCATTAATCACATATGGCTATTGGATACTTGAAATGTGCCTGGCCTGTATTGAGATGTGCTATAGATTTAAAATACACACCAGTTTTCTAAGACTTAGTACCAAAAAAGAATATATTGGGTCGTCAGAAAAGTCATGATGTATGTTTACTGTTTTTCAAGCAATAACATGTCATGACTTTTTCAACAACCCAATGTTTCATTAAAATTCTTATACTGATTGCATATATTTATTTTAGATATATTGGGTTAAATAAAGCATATTATTACAATTAATTTTACCCATTTCTTTTTATTTTAACATGGCTACTAGCATATTAAAGAACACGTGGTTCAGATTATAGTTGTGCTATATAGTGTTGGTATAGAGTGCAGTATTACTATCAGTTTTTGCTGGTTCCTCTATGTGCCATATTTTTCCAAAATCTTGTAATAAACTAAGGATATTAATCCTCATAGAAAACTATATAAAGTAGGTGATATTATTACCCTCATTTTTCAGGTAACTGAGGTACACAATGAGGTTAATCAGCACACCTGAAAATCACTCCACTAGTAAGTAGGAAGCCAGGATTCAAGCAGTCTTTTGGCTTCATGATGTCACTGGACCTTTAAAGGTAGTCGAGCTGTAGGATGATGTGACTGGAATGATGCCTTAGTAGTATGGTAATAAAGATAAGTGAGGGGAAGAGACTTCATTTCAGCTCTCCACTTTTTGCTTTATATTACTTTTTTTGCAGGAGAAAAATTCCCTGTTTAAAGTCAGTTTTTGAATTGCAGCTTTTAGAAGTATATCTTTTATGTTAAGTGTGTCTCAAAAATCGTTGTCTTCTCTTTATAGATTTGATAATGGGCTGCATTAAAAGTAAAGAGAATAAAAGTCCAGCCATTAAATACAGAACCGAAAACACTCCAGAACAGACACTTAATACAAGTGTCAGCCATTATGGAGCAGAACATACTGCAGTAGCACCATCATCTTCAACAAAGGGAACATCTGTTAATTTTAACAGTATTTCCATGACACCATTTGGAGGATCCTCAGGGGTGACACCGTTTGGAGGAGCATCTTCCTCATTCTCAGTGGTGCCAACTTCATATCCTGCTGGTTTAACAGGTGAGATTTAAACAGACAATTCAGTTGTTGGGTTGAGAATGTGACCTTAGGCATTACATACATAAGATTTGCCTGCTATAAGAAAAAATAAATTATGGGAGGACTTTTTAAAAGAATTTTATGTGGAAATTGAAGTCTCTGTATATGTGACTATTGTTCTTGGAAATTTGCTGATAATCTGGTAGTGTTGTGTACTGGCTTAACATCATTAGTTATTTCATTAATTAATTTTTCAAATAATTACTGAGAGCCAACTATATGGCTGGCACTGGGGATATTATATTTAGAGCCATATACCCCTCCGTCAAGAATGCTAACAACTTCTTAGAATTATGAAGTGCTATCCACTACTAAGGTATTATCAAAATTGTTTAAAAAAATTGTTTAATAAATGAATGTGTTAATGATAAAATAAATTATATATTTTCTGATTTAAAAAATATCATGAGACTCAGAAATTAGTTTAAATGATTTTCTCCCAGAATCACAGACAATAAGCAGATAAATCCAGATTTAATCTCTTATTCCATAACTCTATATATTATATTGTGATATCCTTTCAAAGAACAGCGGGAAGTGAAAGCTGACAAACTTCCCTGCAACCAGAAATACTCTTAAAAGTTAGGAACATTAAAAGAGGGAGAGTTCTTCTGTAAAAGGTTGCACATCAGAATGTTTTTTTTCTTGAGCAGCAAAACACAACTGATTTAAAAAACATAGAATGATATCCAGCATTCCTCAAGTCAGCAAGACCTCAGAGTTTCTTTGATCTCTCTCCTGCACCTCCTGGAATGTCTACTTTCTCTTTAAGATTGGCAGAATAATTGTCAGCATCAAATTGACACATATTGACGTGAAGCCAGTGAAGGTCAAAGAGGAATCTCCTCTATACACATGGACTATAAAATTGTCCCTTCAGTCTGCTCACAGTCTTTCCAATAATATTCATTTGTAGGAGTGATGGACTTCAAAGTTGTCACAATCCTCATTTCAACTCCCTGACTCTTAAATACTTCAGTAATAGATGGCTATTGTGGTATATCGGCGAACATCTAAATTATTTTCAGGAGTATATATTTGTGAAAGCTAGTAATCCAATAATTATTAAAATAAATATTGATACTTAAAAACATACTTTAGTTACCTGAAACAGTTTGCTTATATGAAATAGGCTGTTCATACTCATTTATTAACAAATATGGAGTGGTTTGTACCAGGTATAAAGGATTTTTTTTAAAAGATTTTAAATATTTATGCATACAAAGCTGGGGTATAGGCCAGAGGTGCAGGGGCAGTGAGAGGCGAGTGGGGAGCAGAACAGGCAGACTAATGAAGTACACTGTTGAGGGGAGCAGCAGGTGAGACAGGAGAGGTCTGCTGAACCTTGTGTATCACGCCCGGTCGGGGGGCGGGGCTGGGGGGGGGGTGTCAAGCTCTTCAGCGAAGCAGCCTGGCCAGCTTTGCAGTGCTGTGCATTAACCCACAGTGCTACCAGGGAGGGCCCTGGTATAAAGAGTTTTAAGCAAGAGAAGTTTCTGCCCTGATGGAATTTATATTACAATGTGAATAAACATCTAAACAGGAGAGTTATTAGATGCTATGAAAAGGCTAATCAATGGTGAAGGCCCATTAGATGATCAAGGAGAACCAACTTTAGGATAAATCATTTTCCTGAGGTTGACTATTGAGAATGTGAACAGCTGAGAAAAGAGATACGGGGGATGGAGGAGAACAACAATTGCCAAGTTTAAGAGGTACAGATGGACTTAGCTGTTTTGAGCACCAATCCAGTATGGACACAGGTTTGAATTGTATGGTATAGGTTTGGAAAGTCAGGGTTACTCAGGATTTTGTAGAGGAGCAAGACGTTGGATTTTATTCAAAGCAAAAAGAAGCCAACAAAGAGATTTAACAAAAGGATTTGCATGACTGAATTTCCTTTTTCAAAAAACTGAGTGCTTATTAGGGAAAGTTTTATGAATACAGGTTAGGAGAGAAGAATCAGCATCTTTGTTTTAGACTAATTTTAAGTTGTGAATGCTTGTTAGGCATTCAAGTAGAGATACTAAATAGTTAATTAATAAATGAGCAGACCTCAAGGGAGAAACCAAGTAAATGAAATAATCTGTTCTTTTTTTTAGTTTGCAGATAGTAGTTTGACTGTTTAATGTTCTAATATCTTAAGTATCTACACGTAATACCATATATGAATTATTTTTTGAACTTATAATTTATATCAGTCATACCATTTAATTTCTAAGAAAAATATACTGCTTTTTTTCTGTAAATGTTAAGTATAAATATCTTTTTAAACCCCTAGTTATTTCTGTTAATAAATAATCTAAGGATGAAAATGTTGATCCATTAAGAAATTAAGATAGTACCAATAATTGATAGTACTCATTAATGCTTTTTCTGGGAAGGAGTTGTTTTCAAGCCATAGGTATTGCTATGATGGGTCAAAATTAAATTTGTTTATGTTAGTCTGTAGCATTTCAGAATTTATAGAGTACAGAAGATTCATGAAAAGTCTAAAGAGGACATGTTTTTAACTTGAAAAATCACTACTCAAATCTCTAACTTTTAGAACAGATTCTGGAGACTAGGAAGAAAATATGTTTAAGCTTTGCTGGCAGTGTTGTTTTTGTTTTGTTAGTTATTCTATGGAATTTACTGTGGACTCTTTTGCTCCAATAGGTGGTGTTACTATATTTGTGGCCTTATATGATTATGAAGCTAGAACTACAGAAGACCTTTCATTTAAGAAGGGTGAAAGATTTCAAATAATTAACAATACGTAAGTGTTGTGAATTTTTTCTCTGAAGAAGAAATATTAATAGAATATTAATATGACTTTACATTGAAACCACTGAGTTAGAGGGTGAATCAGAGAAGAGTTTGGTAGGGCACGGGTTTGTGCCCATGTAGCTAGACGTGCATTTGGTTTCTTTAGAAACACAGAATAATATTCTTCTGTAGCCAGAAGTTATTCTACAGATTATGCTGCTGTGCTTCTATCATAAACAGTAGAGAGTTAAGAATGAAATTTGAGGGAATATATGCAAGTAAATGCATTACTTAAAAAAAAAAACTTTATAAAGAGAGTGTTAAGTTCCTAGTTATCTTAATATTACTTGATTTAAAGATTTATTTTCATAAAGAAAAAAACTAATCACTTCTCAGCCTTTTGACTAAGATCAAGTGAAGAAAAAAACTAAATAAAAGGAAAATGCCTAGGTGAGGAACACCCTTCAGTCCCAAACTGACCAAATGAAGTTGCTTTTTCATTATGCAGCTCTTAGAATTGTTTGCATTTAGTTGCCTATGATAGAAAATTCAATGCTTATTATGGAAAATAGATACCATAAACTCCTTAGCATGCATACCACCACTTTCTAACTCTTCAAAATACACATTTATGACCTGTTATGTTTCCTTCCATCCATGTACCCATTTGTTACCAATTGCTGTCCCAGAACACATGAAATATGCTGATATCTTTCTCTCTTAAAACTCCTCAGTAGCTACCATTTGCCATCAAAATAAAAGAAAGACAATAATAGAAAGCATTGTTCGGTGAGCTTCTTCCCCTTTCTCACTTAATCCACCATTCAGCCATATTGAATTACTTGCAGTTTTCTGAATACTCTAGGGTTTCTCACCTACTTTAAGCCTTCACACAGTTTCTTTTTTCTGAATTGTAATTTCTCGTTACTCCATTTTACCCTTTATCTGGTCATCCCTACTCATCCTTCAAAGTATATTTCCTGTGTCTTTTTTTCAGAGAAGCCTTTCTTGACATTCTTCTCACATCTGGCCTACTTCCTCTCTCCTGCTGGATTAGGAATCTTTTTTATGTATTTATGTAGGATCTGTGCAAACCTCAGTCATTGCTGCTATCAGTTTTGAATTATAATTCATCACCTGCTTATCATTATTTTTAGACCAGTGTTTCTCAGCCTAGAAAAGAATTACCCACAGGAAATTTGGCAATGTCTGGAGACATTTTGGTTATTATAGTGAAGGTACTACAACTTTTCTCCAGTAGGTAGAGACATCAGGAATATTGCTGAGTATCCTCCCTGCACCTGCCACACACAAACCACAAAGAATTATCCAGACCAAAGGTTGAGAATTCCTGCCCTAGACTGAATTTCTAGAGGTTTAGGACTGTCTTTTTACCTTTGCTTCCAACACATACTGTTATAAGCTGTCACTAGAGAAGTATTCAATAAAATGCAATGTTTTCAGTTTGCATATCTGAGAATATTTAATATAGATAACTGTATTAAAATATAGGAAATTTAAATACAGAATATTTAAACTAGGAAACTACAACCAACCAAGTGTATGAGTTTGTGAATATTTGAATTACTAAAGGATTTTCCATTTTATTTTCTAGAGAGCATATTCACTTCAAGCATTTACAGAATTTCAATTTAGACAAACTATTTTCAATACTAACTTTGCTAAAGCAGAATATACATTAAATCTTTAGTCGTAGAATCCATATATATATTTTCCTCATTAGAATGACTGATAACATTCACCAATTTCACATTAATTTTGGAAAATTCAGTGCTTATGTGCTACATACTACTTACAGTGATTTTAATGTCTATGGATAACATTTCTGTTTTGTTCCAGGAGTTCAAATATTTTCATTGTTATTGCTATTAATATTTTGGCTACAAAAGTTGTAAAAGTTCCTGGATATTTTCTTAAAATGACTGTAGAGGTCCCTCCCTGGTGGCGCAGCGGGTTAAAGCACAGCACTGAGAATCTAAAGCCGCTTCCGCATGAGTTCAATTCCCACCTGCCCCGGAGGTGATCACATGGTGTGGCAAACCTCTCCTGACCCGCCCGCTGCTCCCCTCAGCAGTGTACTTCATGGATCTGCCTGTTCTGCTCCCCACTCTGTCTCTGGTGAAGCCTCTCGCCGGCCCTGAGCCTCTGGCCTGTACCCCAGTTTTGTATGCACAAATAAATAAATCTTTTAAAAAAAATTAAAAAAAAATGACTGTAGAGGAACATTATAATTTCATATGCTATTAAAAAAGAAAAGTGGGGCCCTCCCTGGTGGCACAGCGGGTTAAAGCACAGCACTAAGAAGGTAAAGCCACTTCAGCATGTATTCGATCCCCTGCCCACATGGCACAGCAGACCTCTCCTGACCTGCCCACTGCTCCCCTCAGCAGTGTACTTCATCAGTTGGCCTGTTCTGTCCCCCACTCTCTCTGGTAAATCCTCTCTCTGCCCCTGCACCTCTGGCCTGTACCCCAGTTCTGTATGCATAAATAAATAAATCTTTTAAAAATGATAAACATTTCTCAATAAAGAGTGGAATACAACATAGAAGATTCCTTGGGGGGGGAGATGTTTTAATAATTGTAGTGAGGTAATATTGGTTTATAACACCGTATATGATTATTTAATATAGTTCAGATTTTTTTTTTAATTTATGCATACAAGAGCTGGAGTGTAGGCCAGAGGTGTGCGGGGTTTAGGGGGTGGCAAGAGGATACACCACAGATAGAGAGCAGAACAGGTCGATTGAAACAGGCTGCTGGGCAAGACACAAGAGGTCTGCTGCACCATGTGGGTCAGCTCCCTGGGTGGGGATCAAACTCATGCTGCAGTGGCTGCCTATAGCTTCATAGTGCTAAGACTTAACCCCTTGTGCCATCATGGAGGCCCTAGTTCAGATATTTTTATTTTAATATAGTTTACTGTTTTCAGGTTGAAAGAGTTATATAAAAAAGTATAATTGATTTTTTATTTGGAGCAGATATATGCAATTGTGCTTTCTCTTACAGCCTTATTCCCTTAATTTATGTAACTTATTTTTGAATATTATTGAGTTGATCAAATGACTGCATAAATAAAAAATGGAAGTAATACCTTTTATCTGCTTCAGGGACAATACTGCAATAGATCATATCTTGAGCATTAGTCTACCTTGTGGTAATTGTTGTTTTGTGTGTTTCAGGGAAGGAGACTGGTGGGAAGCAAGATCAATTGCTACAGGAAAGAGTGGCTATATCCCTAGCAATTATGTAGCCCCTGCAGATTCCATTCAGGCAGAAGAGTATGGCACAACTTCATATTTTATTAATTATTTTGATTTTTAAAATGTTTTAATGCATCTGCATAGCCACAACTTTATACACACACATTTACTTACCAGTCTTAATGTAGCTAATGTATCATATTAATAGATATTACTTGAAAATTAATAATTAATGTCTTAGTATTCACATATAGTAAGATCATAAATGAATCGGCATTAATAATATTGTTTGATGTCTATCTCTAGCCTTTATTTTAAAAGACTCTGAATAACTTTTTATATTCTGTAGTCTCTTATTTTAAAAATTTACCCTCAATTAACAGTATTACATCTGTGTTACTGTCCTGATGTAGGTGATTCCTCTGTGGTTACATAGGAACATATCATTCTCCTTTTGGAAATATACCCTGAAGTGTGTAGGGGTAATGATTCAGCATGTTTGCAAATTACTTTCAATCGCTTCAGAAGACAGTATACCCACACACTTACATGGAGGGAAAGAGAAAATAGGACAAAGTAAAATGTTAGTAATTAGAAGACCTGGATGGATGGTATATGGGAGTTCTATGCATTATTCTTGAAACTTGAAAAAGTTAAAGTTCATCTTTAACCATGTGTGACCTATTATGCTCGTTTAAACCAAATTTAACTGGCCCCCACAAATATTTCTAAATGCTTTTTCATTTGACACTTAGCATAGTTCTTGGCATATGTTAGGTGTGCATTCAGTGTTTGTTTGCTTTTATTATTGCATTCATTACTTTCTGTTTTGCTCTTTTGTCTTTCCCATTAATTTTTGATCTCCACAGTAGGTCTGTTTTTTTTATTAATAAAACTATATTAAATTAAACCCACTGTAATTAGGAGTTGCCAATAGTTTGAATATGGTTTACTTACATCTTATTGAACACAAATGATCATACTATTGCCACAGAACAACTAGGTTCTTCCTACTATAATTTTAATATTTCCACCTGTCACTGATAGAAAGGCTCTGTCATGCTGCCTTTGCTTCTCTAATATATTATTCCTGTGATTACCGGTTATAGTTTAATAAGAGACATGTTGAGTAGTTAATACATGGAAATACTGTGACAATAATATTTGTAATACTCTTATTTAATAAATAAAAATATTTCATTTTTTTTCTAGATGGTATTTTGGCAAAATGGGGAGAAAAGATGCTGAAAGATTACTTCTGAATCCTGGGAATCAACGAGGTATTTTCCTAGTAAGAGAAAGTGAAACTACTAAAGGTATGAGTTTTGTTACGCTAATATAATAACAAAAATTTCCTTCAGTATTTTGGGAAAGATAGTAAAAGTATTCATTTGCCCTCTTTCCTGCCCTACCCTCCAGGTGCTTATTCTCTCTCTATTCGTGACTGGGATGAGATAAGAGGTGACAATGTGAAACACTACAAAATTAGGAAACTTGACAATGGTGGATACTATATTACAACCAGAGCACAATTTGATACTTTACAAAAATTGGTAAAACACTATACAGGTATGTATTTCAGAGGCAAAAAACTATTTTATGGGGATAAAATCTATGTTGTCATATCTTTCTAGGTTTACCATGCTATTTTACACACAGTATGTGCTCAACAAATGTCTGTTGTATTCTAGTTTTAGAATGAGGAATAGGTAATACTTACGACCTGAATTGAGCTCTTGAATATGGTACAAATAGTTTCAGGAGTACTTACATCATAGTGGCACAGTGTTTACATTGGAATTCAATATCATAACTTTAAAATACCAAGATAGATTGTGAAAATAAATCTTAAAAGTATAAAAAATAAATATTTTGGTTCACTTACCAAGGAACTAAATACTTAAAAATCTATATTATATGTCCTTTGGGTTGCCTTTACCTGCATGGGCTGTAACACCTAAGACTTACTGAGGTATAACTCCAATGAAATTTGATTAAAAGATATATTTTTCTTTTCTTGGAAAATTAACCTGTAACAATTACTGATACTCTTTACTCTTTCTGGGATCATTGAAAAGTATTTGTGTCTTCTGTCCCAATAAACAATTTTTTAATCAGTGGTGTCCATTTACAAAATGTGTCTATTAAATCAACCATCAGTCTTGACATTGATCAGATGTGTTACCAAGAAGTGGCATCGTTTGTAATTGTACTTGTTAGAATGTGATTTTCTGTGGTCACTTGTAGAAAATGGGAGAGAGCATTGTCTTACTGGCAATAAGAAAGATTAGTTAAGCAGGACCACAAGTCAGGCCATTATGAATGTGTTAATCCCTTGTTTTCTGTCTCCATATTTAAAAATCAGCCCCCTAAAAGATGTATATACTTAATTTTTGATATGCCTTTTGTATTAGAGTTTATTAGAAATAACAATGATAGTATTTACTTTGGGAAAAATAAAAGCATGTTGATTAAAAGCAGAACTAACTTTGGAGTCGGCCATACGTATGGCTTGAATTTCATCTCCATTACTTACTCTCTAACCTTAAGAAAGCAGCTTAACGTTTTCTAAGACTTACAAAGATACTTGTGAAGTGCTGAGTTAGCACAGTAGCTGTTACATAATATTCAATAAGTGAATAACTTTTAAAATGTATTTATTTGTGTGCTTCTTTGCTTCTTGTTGTACAACTCTCTTTTTGTTTAGACTTTTAAGGTAAAACTGATAGAACATTATGTTTTTCTTTTAAGGCATTGAGATACTATCTATAATTTAATTTTGGTGAGTGATTTATTTTACATTGTAGTTTATTCATTTGCCTAGAACATGCTGATGGTCTGTGCCATAAATTAACAACTGTGTGTCCAACTGTGAAACCCCAGACTCAAGGTTTAGCAAAAGATGCCTGGGAAATCCCTCGAGAATCTTTGCGACTAGAGGTTAAACTAGGCCAAGGATGTTTTGGTGAAGTATGGATGGGTAAGAAATCTAAACCTTTGTTTTATGTCATTATTTAGCAATAGTTTAAAATCTCACGGGGTATGATAAAATATGTTGAAATATTTAAAGTAACATCTCATTGGTGTTTGGTATAGAAGTCTCTTAGTATAAATTAAAACAGTAAAGTGTGTTATTTCTCTAGGAACGTGGAATGGAACTACAAAAGTGGCCATAAAAACACTGAAACCAGGTACAATGATGCCAGAGGCTTTTCTTCAAGAGGCTCAGATAATGAAAAAACTAAGACACGATAAACTTGTTCCATTATATGCTGTTGTTTCTGAAGAGCCAATTTATATTGTCACTGAATTTATGTCAAAAGGTATGTGTGTATTAGTTACTCTTAGAGGAGTCATATTGATAATTAAAAAAAAATCATTTCTGTGTTTATGCATATAGATTTTTATTGTGTGGTGTTTTCTAATATAAGATAATTTTTGTAGACATTTGAAAAGAGAAAGTATGACATTTTGTTTAATGGAATAGTTAATGATTAGCTCTAAGTATACCAAAGGATAGTATAAAACCTAAAGGAAAATTAGACAAGGTGAATTTATTTTGAAAGTAAATAGTCTCTTCTTTTTGATTAAAGGAAGTTGAATAACTCAGAAAATTAAAAAGAAAAAACAGATATTTAAAACAATTCAATGAGAAAGATATTTATACCTTTAATATTAAAACAATTACCAGAAAAAAATAAAGAAAGTAATTTTTAACTTATTTCCATATAAATGTACTCAGGGATAACTAGAAACTTAATATTTCCACCAGCATTCTGTGGAATTTTTCTTTCTCCCAAGCCCCTGACCTGAAGATGGGATCTTTAGTAACAGGATTAGTTTGTACAAAGATACACTGCTCTCTTTTTCCTTTGTAAATGATCCCTCAAGAAAAGTCACCAAATATATTGACAGACCACATTTTTATTTTCCTTATTTTTATAACCTCTTTTAACAGCTCACCTAGCCCTGTTTAAAAAGGATGATTAATGTCTCTGTACAGGCATCCATCTTGACCAAAGATATAGTTCCACCTAGTGGTGACATAGACAACTACACAGCATACAAATGCTATAGAAAAATTTGACCCTCAGAAGGAACAGAAAAACCGAATTAGTAAGTAACATAGCCTATCAATCGACAGCCAAAACATACCTAATAGCCATAATTAGACAGCACCTTCTGCAAATGGTTGCCACATATCCCATTTCAGAGTGCAGAACAATAAAGGGAAGAGAAAACGAGAAAGTTTAAGTCAAGATATGATGAAATTAAGTATATAATGAAAGTAAAACTAATGGTCGTTTTAGTTTTATTCATTGATTCCAAGAATTAGTTAAGTGGGAGAATATGGTATAAGTCTTGTCAGATGAGGGTTAGGATTACTTCTACATGGGAGATGTGAAATACAGGAACACAGATGTGCCTTGTAGTTTTCAGATTCTGTAGTTCCCCATCTTAGTATTCACATAACTATCAATTGACCCTTTCTAATACATCCAAGTTAATTTCTTCATGTGTTTCCATATAAACCCACTTTTCTGGATGGATGAATGTCTTGTTTGCATGTTTTTTTTTTTCCACATTACTGGAATTTTTCTCTATCTTATAACCATTCCTTTAGCTATACTTTCTTCAGAGTGTATATAACTGTTAGAAGCCTTCCACTAAAATCCCAGCCTCATTATATCCTTTAATCTTTATAATCAGAGTACTCTAGGATAACAATCAAAATGTATTGATTGCTTACAATAACTACAAGACATTCTATTGTTTAGTGTATTAAAAAAGAAATATAGCCTCCCAAATAATTTACATTAAATTTGGAAAGAAATGGCTTACCTTCTGATTAGTTACTTTTAAAGTAAATAGCTCATTATAAACAAACAAGGTATATTCCAAAGCATGATGAATTTCCAGGTTTTTGACATATTCACTAAATATAAAGGAGATTAAGGAATAAATTGAGAAAATTTATTGAAAAGACAAGTTTTGAACTACCTTTTGTCAAGACTCTAAGGTATATTCACATACTGAATAAAGGTAAGAGTTTGGCTATTTTTTGCATAGATAAGCGGATATAAGGAGACAGGGGAACAACCATGGATTGTGAAAAGTTCAGAAGGTAACTAGCTGGAAATAAGCCTAGGCTTAGCAAGATATATGAAACCAACTTCAGGATTGCTTTGAGTTGATTTTACCAATTATTGATTACTTCTGTGCCAGAATTATGTGTGAGCCTCAGAGAGTTCATGAACTTTCTTTGAAGGTATATGTCAGTTTTTGCATACTTACATAAGTTTTTCTGGAAACAGAATCCATGGTTTTCATCAGATTCTGACATTAACACATAAACCATAAAAGACTGAAGCGTTAGGCTGATAAGAGAAAAGATATGTCAATGATAAAAATTCCAATCCTGCATTTCTATACTCTGCATCTTTGTACTACTTTAGCAGTTACCTATTGCACTGTTATGTTCTTAGTGTATTGATTATGGTGCCATATAAATTGATTCTACATCCCAAAACAAAGAATCATTTCTTTTGCTTGTTTCTATACACTCTGCTTTGCCATGTAGGGTATTATATATGAGTTAATCATTGTGTCTTGCAGGCTAAGAAAAAGAAATGTCCCTTCCTCTATTTAAGGACCAGTTCCTTTATCTGCATTTCTGCTCTTTCCTTGCATATAGAAAGAAAAACCTCCTTTGGTCCCAAAATACGCTTTTCACATATACTTTACTTTTTGCTTCCTTTCACAGTCAAGGTTTTTAGAAGAAAGGTTAATAATTCCTCTTTCTTCTTCCTAACCATCTTTTAAAAAGCTATTTGGGTTTAATATCAATAGTTTTTAGAGTATTTTTTTAGTTGGTGGACTATATCAAACCTACAAAGAATGATGTAACATCCTAATACCATGACCCTACTATCAGATTTAACTAATGTTTATATGTTGCCATATTTATTTCAGCTCTTTTTTAAATTGTGTTAAGACTAGTTTATAGCTCTGTGTAGGTGTTAGGAATACACTTTCTCAGTTCAGCAGTGACTTACATCTCACTGCATTTACCACAAAATGTCCACTCACCGTCCATTAACCACTGAGCCCACTTTACCCATTCCCTCCCTTCTTTGTCTTAGTTTAGTTGTTCACTTGTATTTTCTTCTTTATAATCCACAAGTGAATGAAATCAGACAGCATTTGTCTTTCTCCTTCTGACTTACTTCACTTGGTATATTCAAGCTTCTTCCATGTTGTCACATAGCACTTGGACTGTATCCCTACCTTGGCAGTTGTTGATAGTACTAGATTGAACATAGTGAGATATAGACCTAGATACATGACTCTTTTCAAATTAGGTTTTTTGTATTCTTCAGGTAAATACCCATAAGTAAGATTATTGGATCATATGGTAATTCTATTTTTAATTTTTTGAGTATTTCCCACAGTGGCTGTACTGGTTTACATTGCTACCACTAGTGGGAATGTGATGAGCCCACTTAATTCTATAACTATTCAAATTGATATAAAGTGAAATTTCATTGTGGTTTTGATTTGCTTTCCTTGATGATAAAGATTTAGTATCTTCTTTGGTAAAATGCCTATTTAGATCCTCTGCCCATTTTTAATTTGGTTGCTGCTTTTTGTTTTGTTTCAACATTATGTTCTTGACATTAATTTATATAGCTATGGGAAGAACTAATTCCTAAACTTAAAACTGTTAAGATTCTAGATGAATATAATTTTGTATGAGTATTATTTTCTTATCCCATCCCCAGTGTACCTTATAGTTTGTCACTTATAAATAAGGCTACAGTAAATATACCTGTTCTTTGCTTCCTTATATATAGTGCATTGGATGGCAACAGTAGTAGTATCAGCTGGAAATGCACACTCAGGGTGGGACCTATCAGTCTTCACTTTCCTACACTTTCTTCTATAATAATAGTCCATTGAGTGCTGGTGATACCTTTTATTATGTATCTCTAGAAATTACTCCTTTTCCCCTTTCCCCCAGTCTTAGATTTTAACATAATAACCTCTCCTACACTATTTGAACTTAACCTTTTATCCAGTTTTAGCCCAGTTTCACTTTGCATTTTTAGTGGAATTTTTAGCACAAAACCCCGCATATTGCTTCTTAGCATAAAACGTCATATCCAAAAGATAAGGACCTCTTAAGTACTGCTTTGTCCCGACTCTGTTTCTACAGCCACATTCTCATTAGTTCCATCTTTGGGCCCTGTGTTCTTGCATAGGAAGGACTATTTTCATTTCCTGAACTTAATATGCTATTTCATGTATTACTATTTTGTTCCTTCTGGAATTCCTTGTCCTTCCCCATACTTCTTTTAAAGGGCATCTCTGTGAAACCTTTCTTATTTTTCTATAGAATACACTGTATCCATTGTGTTTTACATCTGTTTTTTAATGACTTTTATAACACCCACTGTACAGTGTTTGTTTGCATATGCTTTCATATTAGATCAAGATCTTGTCAAGGACAGGAAATATCTTACTTGTCTTTATATTTTCTACACTTTTTACGTTCTTCACAGTAGACTCTTAGAAAATATTCAAAGGGGCAGAACAATGAACAAACACAATAACATGTTCCCCTGTGATAGACCAGAAAAATACATTCTCTGACTTTGAATCACTATAAGTGAAGAGACTAAGTCACAACTCTCACTATATAATTCTGTCAACATAGAAAGGGCTTTTTTAAATTCTGAAATACTTTTCAACTATAGACTAGTTCCAGAAATGGTACAAAGAATTCCATGTTTATTTCAGCCACATATGCCAGTTGTTAACTATATATGTGTATGTCTCTCTATGAATATATAAAATATGAGGATATTTTCATGAACCATTTGAGAATACATTGCTCTAATTACCATATTGCTTATATTTTTCTCTTAAAGATGAAGACATTATGGTTACAAAACTACAGTACAACGATCAGGAAATATAACATGTCTGCATGTTATATAATTAGTCCATATTCAGATTTCACCGGGCATCCCAGTGATGTCCTTACTTATTGCAGTTCCCCCCCACCCTTATTGCAGTTCCCCAACCCACCCACCCACCCAAGTAACAATTCCATGGTCATGGATTTCTTTTAGTCCTTTTATCTGCAGTAATCAGTCCCTCAGCTTTTTTTTTTTTTGTCTTTTATAACATTGTTATTTTTGAAGAAAACAGGACAGTTGTTTTATAAAATGGGTCTTAACTCTGGTTTATCTGATATTTTCTCTTGATCACATTCCAGTACACATAATTTTTAAGCCAGTAAAAGAAAAGCAACTATCCTTTCTGCTGTCACTCATGCCACTTTGTTATTCTATGATATGTGCTAAAATTGAGGAAAATGTAGTTGAACTAACACTTCCACGTCTACTCAGCCACCTAGATTTAGTGTAAAGTAGCCCTGCGATATTCCCAGTTTTCTGAACTCTTGATTCAGATTGATTTAAAAATATATAAGTATCTACTTAGCATAGATGATGAATCTAGGGGTGGGTGGGGAAGTCCCAAAAGAGTTCAGTAAGGCCCTGCACACTTACTGTCTCAATTCCCTCTCTTGAGGGCCCTGCTGCCTAGAACTGGTATGGGCAGAGTAGAGCAAGTTCCTTTGAGAAAACAGGCATTGCCCTGTAGTCCTTACCCTTGCCCCTGGAGGAGGAAGCTGCCTGGACTCACTCCGGGGGGAGAGGACAAAAGTGGTTTGTGTGTGTGTGTGTGTGTGTGTTTTTTTTTTTTAAAGATTTATTTATTTATTCATACAGAACTGGGGTACAGGCCAGAGGCTCAGGGGCGGTGAGAGGCTTCACCAGAGACAGAGTGGGGAGCAGAACAGGCAGATCGATGAAGTACACTGCTGAGGGGGCAGCGGGCAGGTCAGGAGAGGTCTGCCACGCCATTTGGATCACCTCCGGGATGGGAATCGAACTCATACTGAAGTGGCTTCAGATTCTCAGTGCTGTGCTTTAACCCGCTGCGCCACCAGGGAGGGCCTGTGTGTGTGTGTTTTAAGCTCTGAGTTATAAACAAGACATCTTTTACTGGGAAACACACACACACACAAACAACAAGAATCTAATACTACTACTAAATCAAAATTGGGACTGCTAATCTAGATCAAAGTGAGGAAGGAATGCTTATAATCTGGTGAAATTATCTCACCTCCTCCTTTTCTATATTTTTAGTAGAATTTTTAAAATTCCAATTTATAAAGTTCTACTGGAGTCTTAATGATAATCAAAAATTCCAAAGTTGCAAAAAATACTGAAGAATAAAATGTTGCAATTTTCTATTATGATGTAGTGATTTATTTCAAAGTGGGGGAATGTGTGTTTGAATCCTAATTTAAGATTTGCTTTGTTTTCCATGAATGCCTTGCTGTCTCTTATAGGGAGTTTATTAGATTTCCTGAAGGAGGGAGATGGAAAGTATTTGAAGCTCCCACAACTGGTTGATATGGCTGCTCAGGTACTTGTATTATTTATTTGTATATGTATTAATTTGAATTGAAAAACATAACATTAAAAAATATAAATAATGTTAGTGTAGAACACTGTTGTTTCTGGGATTTAATAGCACCACACTAACCAACTGAGCTAACCAGCCATCCATTTCTGATATTTCAGAGCTGGAGGCAACATTAAAGATAATCCAGTCTGATCTTCTTGTGTTATAGATAATGTAGTATAGATAATGTAGTATTTGAAGATCAGTGGTATCTAAAATTCATGTAACTCTTAATAGTATTAGATACAGCTAGGTAACTCTCAGCACAGTAATCTTATCATATGATCTTTCAGAAATATGTGCATTCACAAATGTAAAATGTGTTTATATTTCAACAAATTGTAGGATACTGATTACTATTCCAATGATATTAGAAATCTGAAGTTCCTACTGAATGAATTTTTAAATATAGATCAAAACAAGGCTCAGATGATAATAAAAATTACTGTCAGTTTTTGTTAAGTGTAAAAGCTATTAAAGATTTCTGTTAGGTATGTTTGATGTTCAAAGAACCTTTTATTGACTTTGAGTAAATATTCAAACGTCCACAGAATCTGGCAGTTTAGTAGAATTTTATACAAAGAAACTGTGCATGTGAGACTTTTGCATTTGCCAAGTTTAGTCCATGTTCCTGAGTTCAAGGGTCTTAGACACCCTGTGGTAAGGATCAACACCTATTTTTGTAAAGAACCAGCCAGGTAAATATTTTGGACATTGTAGACTACGTGTGTGTGTGTGTGTGTGTGTGTGTGTGTGTGTGTATAAAACATGCATACATATATCTCTGCATCCATATGTAAGATGTGCACGCATATACACACACACATATGTTGTTTATCTTCCTACTTACTCTTATTTCTTCCCTCCCTTCATTAAAATGCTATTTTTCCCATTATCTGTACGTCATCTCCTATCAAGATATGAATTTTCAGTGACCTCACTGAACCTTAACCATATTGTCTTCTCTTTACTTCCTTTTATAACACGTCTCTTCAAGATTGCTGATGGTATGGCATATATTGAAAGAATGAACTATATACATCGAGATCTTCGGGCTGCTAATATTCTTGTAGGAGAAAATCTTGTGTGCAAAATAGCAGATTTTGGTTTAGCAAGGTTAATTGAAGACAATGAATATACAGCAAGACAAGGTAAAACTTTTTTTTTAAAGATATATACATTTTTTTTTCTTTGTGGTACTGTTGGTTTACTAGACTATACATGATTTAGGGGTATAGGTTCATATTTCTTTAAGTGTATATTACCACAGCTACCACCAAAGTACCAATATTCTCTGTCATATTCCAGGGGCTCTCTCTCCCCTATCCCATTTGCTTTCCTCTAGTAGCTCACTTCTACAGTCAGAATTTTAGCATTTGATTTGGTTTAGTTTTGTCTGCTCCTTTTTTTCTTTCCTTATATTCCACAAATGAATGAAATCATCCAGTTTTTTCCTAGAGATAATGACAAAAATTAAGACTGCTTAATTATACAATTAGATTTTAAAAAACAATTTTAGCAAAATTACCAATACTGTTTTAGGAGCAAAATTTCCAATCAAATGGACAGCTCCCGAGGCTGCACTATATGGCCGATTTACAATCAAGTCTGATGTATGGTCATTTGGAATTCTACAGACAGAACTGGTAACAAAAGGCAGAGTGCCATATCCAGGTAAGTTTGCATGTTAGCTATGTCGATCCCATAAGTAACGTTAACTGGAGTTTATTAGAAACACATGTAAGGGGATGGGGCCACCTTTATTCTCTTTCTGTTTTTCCCTCTTTACTTGCCTTTTGATATTGGACAGCCTGTGAGAGTAACAGTTCCTAAGACAGGGCAAGCACAGGAGGTGTGCCCCACATTCACCATGGCTTTCTCCCTTAGAGCATTTTCCAAAGGGCTGTTTTGTTCTCTCAGATAGTAAGCTTATCTTAAAACCCTGGGTCATCTATTCCTCATGCCCCCCTCTACATCTGCCCCAAAGTAATTATGGGTGCGTGCTACTCTGATAACAGTATAAGCTACTGCTGTGGGTGGGAGGTTAACAAAAGACTAAAAAGAACTGAAATCCAAACAGATGGTATTAGATAAAGAAACTTTCAGGGAAATGACTTGATAGACTGTTAAATAAGTATTATATTTCCCGTCAGGACCAGAATCCTTTTCTCTTTCTTTTCTTTTTTCCTTCAAAGACTTATTTATTTATACATTCAAGAACTAGGGTACAGGCCAGAGGTGCTGGGGGGTGGAGGTGGTAAGAGGATTCACCAGAGAGAGTGGAGAGCAGAATAGGCAGATCTACCGAAACACACTGCTAAGGGGAACAAAGGGCAAGACAGGAGAGGTCTGTCACACCATGTGGGTCACCTCCCTGTCTGGAGGTCAAACTCATGCTGCAGTGGCTGCGGATTTCTTCATAGTGCTATACTTAACCCATTGTGCCACCAGGGAGGGCCCAGAATCCTTTTTTCTTAATTCCTATTAGAAAGTTATTATACTATCTTGCCCCTGTTTCTCATTCGCTCATGTTTTGTTTTATTAACTTTTGACATCAGAAAATATCAGTACCTCAGAGTACTTCCCCAAATTCTCATTAATCAAATGCAATTTGCTTTTGAAGATGTGTTAAAAACAAGTTTTAGGTGAAATTTAAAAATCAGACATATATGTAACACATAAGCATTCTTTTAAGTTCTTCACTAAATACTTTGACATTTAAAATGTACTTCATTCCGGCCCTCCCTGGTGGCGCAGCAGGTTAAAGCACAGCACTAAGAAGCTTAAGCCACTTCTGCATGAGTTCAATCCCTGCCTGACCCGGAGGTGATCCACATGGCGCGGCAGACCTCTCCTGACCCGCCCACTTCTCCCCTCAGTAGTGTACTTAGTCTATCTGCCTGTTCTGCTCCTAACTCTGTCTCTGGTGAATCCTCTCACCCTCTGCATCTCTGGCCTGTATTATATATGAATAGATAAATCTTTAAAAAAAAAAAATGTACTTCATTCCCTTGATGAAAGCCATTTTAAATAAACTTAGTAAAACTCAGATCAGTTAGGATTTGTTCTGTTTTATTAATGATGCTTGGCATCATTTATTATTATTATTATGTTTGAATCTTGTCTGTTAGGTATGGTAAACCGTGAAGTGCTGGAACAGGTGGAACGAGGGTATAGGATGCCTTGCCCTCAGGGCTGCCCAGAGTCCCTACATGAATTGATGAATCTTTGTTGGAAGAAGGACCCTGATGAAAGACCAACATTTGAATATATCCAGTCCTTCTTGGAAGACTATTTCACTGCTACCGAGCCACAGTACCAGCCAGGAGAAAATTTATAATTCAAGTAGCCAATTTTATATGTACAAATCTGCCAAAATGTAAAGTACTTATGTAGACTTCCTCACTTACATACAGGAATCAAAAGAAGAAAATCTTCACGCTGCATGTTTTTAATGGTAAACTGGAATTTCAAATGTTGCACAAAACCACTTTTACCCCTAAGTGTTAAACTCTAAAGTACCAATGATGAATTTCCAACTTAATTTAAAATCCAAAGAAAATGTAACTAAACTGTGGGTAACAGTGTGACTGGTAGTATGACAACAAAGAGCAACAAAGTTACTGTTTATAAATCACTTCTTTTATTCCTCAAACTCAGAATTTTAAGAGTGAATTATCACAATAGACAAAAATTGGGAGGTAAAAAGTTAAAATTAAGAAATTTTATGGGACCAAACAATTCCATTCCAGTTTTTAAAAAAATTCTTACTTTGTTCTCAAAAGTTTTTTCTAGGTTGAATAGTTAATATACAATCTTAATATATGACTCCTTTTGCATGGAAGTGGGCCAGGTTTTTAGAAGCAAAAGGGAATATAAATAGCTCTAAAACTTGATTAAGTGCTTAGACCACAGCAGTGTAAATCTGAAAGTATAGTGTACTACGCTAATACTCATGAAACTGGAAAATAGAGGAAGTTTTTCACTTTAATCATTTTCTGAATAGCAGTATAGAATAATGAAAGTAACCAAAAAGTGAGTCAATCCTTTATAAGATTGTTTTTAAGGCGATATATTAAAATTGTACTCTCCAATACAAAGGAAAATCTTTTAATCTTTAGGTAGCATGAAAAAATAGGTCCACACTTAAGCAGTCCTTTTGAAAAAATAGACTGGTACTGTGAGATATTACTAATACGTAGTTAAGGTGTTGGGTGCCACAAATATAAAATATCACTAGATCAGGGACTTGAATGCACTTTTGCTCTTAATGAACAGAAATGGGAAAATGTATTTAAATGATGAACAGAATGAACAAAATGAAAATGTATTTAAAGAAATGTGAGAAGAAAATGTGTAAGTTTTACAGAGAAGAGGAATGGAAGGTTAGTTTAATGTTGGTTAAAAATGGCTTTGCTGGCACTCAAAGCTCATCCCTTAACCTATTTTCTGAGATTTTAAGAGTTGTAAGGTATGACTATCAAACTAATCTGTCTTAACATAAACACTAAATGAGTAGCCTCAAAATAGCTGTTAAGGCTTCCCACTAATTCTAGTGATACAGCTTTTGTGCAAAACATTTCTAGGACTTGGTTTTCAAATCTGTATTTGAATCTGCATTCACTTTTTTAAAATATTGTACTTAATGGTGATCATCTTTTCCCTTTTAAGATTTAATTGATTTGAAAAGAAAAATTTATTCAGAATAAAAACGGTTGATATAAAAGGGGTTACAGATTTTACCCATTTAAAGTGCAGATTTTTAAGACTGACTTAGAAATTCCAAAATAAGAATTTGAATAACAGCATTAGAACTTTGTTCCTAGCAAAGAAATTAAATCTGACAAATATAAGCCTGTTATTTATGTTTTAAAATTAAAACTATCTTTTATATTCCCATGTTAAATAAATGGAAAGTACCAATTCTGCATGCTTTAGGAATAGAATTTTCAACCACCATCACTTACCTGATTTAATCATTTAAAAGTTCTGTGCCATGTTGAAACAGATTTCTTAATGTGACAAATGAACTTCATACAAGTTGACAACAGTCTGGTACTAAAAACTGGTGGTTTCTTATGTTTACATAACCAGCTTAGTATTGAATTCCTCTTCCAAGAGGATCTTCCTAAGAAGACTGCCATCATTATTTACCTTTAATGTCTATAGCCTGTGACATCAGATATTTAAAGGGCTTTATGTGAACTATAATATTATAATTTTTCTAATCATTTTAAAAAGGATAACAAATTATATGTTTATGTATTAATTTTGTTAAAAATAAACCAGGAATAAACCAGGAAAAGTTGATGGTCTTCAGTAGGTTTTAATTGAATGGAGCAATTCATCATAATAGCAGCTGTATAGTAGGGAAAGAAAACACTAATAACTTAACGTGTATTCAGTTTTAAATGATTATGTATTTTTAAATTGCCAAGAAAAATAAACAACTTTGTACATTTGAAGACTTTTTCCAACAGTTTTTCCATCTTCACTATTTTAGTGTTGAAGTTAAACCCTTGGTTTATGTCAACCAAAAAAAGTTGACATAAACAGCCTTTTAGCACAAACACTTTTTTAAATGAAAATGGTAACCTAAAAGTTAATATTTTTTATAAGTGTATTATGTTATTTTTCTGGATAATTGAAATAAAAATTCTCATTGAATGTACCACATTTATTTCTTTTCAGCTACTGTTATACACTCTCGTCAGCTTTTTAAATCTTGATTATAGCAATGTGTATTCTAAATTTATTCTTACATTGGAGGAGAAAGTTACAATTTGAGCATGATTAAATCAATTCTTTATTAAATTTAAAACCATATTGAACTCATTCAGTGTCAGGTGAGTGACATTATTTATATAGGGCTTCAATTATACCAGCAGCTACAGTTAATGTTTTGTATAGAGAAATGTAAGTGATTTGAGTGTAGCTATTCAGAGAATCTGTGTGAAGGATATAAAATAGAAATAACCACTTTGATCACAAGGATTTAATTTTCCAAAAAAGAAAACTATGAGCCTTATTTTAGTGTGTTTTACACTTTTGTTTTAACTATAGTGAAAATATAATTATACTAAATTATGAATTGCTAATCAGAGCATTTATTATTTTTGAGAAGGTAATAGTATTAATTACCTTTTATATTATTAAAAAGATTAGCTTTTTTCCCTAATGATATGCAAAAAGTAAATTTTAATCAGCATTTAGTTGACATTTATTAAATATTTTATACAGTATAATTACAGTTCCTTAATTTAAGAATATTTTCCCAGTTTTTTGCTTTGCCTTTTAATATTGCCTGTAATTTTTTGACATTTAAGTTGTACATTTGTATGTTGTTAAATTTCCTTTTTTTATGCTTAAAAAGTCCTCTGCATTCCAAGATTAAATACTCATCTCGTCTATTATAGTTTATGCTTTTCTTTCTTAAATTTCTCTTTAATTCATTTAAAAGCTATTTGGGTATAAAATGTAACAGGAGTCCCACATGATTTTTTTACATATAGTTAATTTTCCTAGCACTATGCATTGGTTAATCCATTCCACTGTGTTGATTTCCTGTATTATCTCTAGTTGGAAGATGACAACTCATTGCTAGTGCTACCAGAGACCAGGTCCCCAATTTGTTAGAAAGAGAAAGAAAAGCAACATACAGAGATAAGGAATAGAGTGTATGCCACAAAAGCATTTATTTCCCTAGTACCAATTCCTTCCTTCTACATACTCTAGTTTCTCCTGTTTTGTTTTTGTTTGTTTGTTCGTTCATTTAAACACCAAATTGAGTTTCTGTTATCTGCCACTTGGTTAACATTCAGGTTATCAATATCGCTTAAAAGAATACTTCAGATTAAAATAAGTCACATATGCCCAGTATCATTTATTTGCTGGCTTTATATCCACACTCTGCTGGAAAGCTGGCCTCTACTCATCGCTGTATTTCCTCACTCTCTGGGTTGAGCCAATGAGGAGTGCCAGCAGAAGATGGAAGAAAAATCACAAGATAAGTTGAGTGACTGTGCTGGCTCTCTCAATCTGTAAGTTTTGTCTAGCTATGTCCTCAACCAAAAGTTCCTTTTAATATAGTCTCATCTTTCCTTCTGGGAACTGGTTATCATTCTCTCCCTTATCTTTTTTACCTTAGAGATACTTCTACTAAGTTGGGTTACTGCATCAATCCTTTTATACCCCTTGGTATATATTTTTGATTTAACTTGTATGTGGTGTCTTTTGAGTTGTGATCCTGATACTTGTCATACTGAGTGAGGAAGTTAGCCTGGGCAGGTAGGCAGAATCAGTGTCCCAAGGCCATTTATTAAAGGATCATTAAAAACTGAATGCTCAGAAAAAATAGAAGCAATGGACCAAAACTTGTCCCTGGAAAATAAACCAAGTAAATGGGGAGACCCAGCAGACCTCAACCAATCAGCAAGAGACACAAAGTCTACTCCTCCCCAGCATGCCATATAAACAACAGCTTCTAGGCCCCTCAGCAGCAACTCCCTTAGAGAACTTTCCTGTCTTTATGTGACAATGCATGTCTTGTTTTTTGCCTAACTCTGGTCTTGATGTTGAATTCTTTGCTCCTAGAGATAAGAACTGACAGCTCTTTGGGGTTCAGCTCCCACAATACTGATTCAGTACTACCAATAGCAATGCAAGTAAAAACTAAGAAATCCTTGCATTATTATATCAATGTGCCTGTTTATATGAACAACTGTTTTCGGTGCAGTAGCAACATACAATATTGTATTAAAGGTAAAGTTACCATAAGATCTTATTAACTGGAACGAACATACCAAACCATACCATATTCTAAACTGTGGTTTAAAAGCTGGAATCCGGGCCCTTCCTGGTGGTGCAGCATGTTAAAGCATAACACTAAGAAGCTAAAGCCACTTCAGCATGAGTTTGATCCCTGCCCTGGAGGTGACCCACATGGCGCGGCAGACCTCTCCTGACCCATCTGCTGCTCCCCTTGGCAGTGTATTTTGTCAGTCTCCCTGTTCTACTCTCCACTGTCTGTGCCTCTCACTGCCCCTGCACCTCTGGCCTGTACCCCAGTTCTGTATACATAAATCTTTAAAAAGAAAAACTGGAATTATAAGAGTTTTTCAATTATATTTTTTCAAAAACATAAAGCACATGTTGTAAAACTACACCAAATAGCTTATTTGCCGAGTTATAATAACCCAATTCAAGAATGAACAAATCATTCAATTCATGAATAAAAAAATGAGTAAGAATGCCAGGGTGGAATGCTAAGCATAAGGAAAAGGAACCAGAAAGAAACGGTGTCCAAAAGCTAAACAATTTGTGAGAATTCTGTAATAGAAGGGTGGCCTACAGACCTTTAAGAAACACGACTGATAATACTCCTATTAATAAATTAGCAGTAGACCTGAACACATAGTCTTGGGTTTCGGCTTTTAGGAAAGTCGAAGGATTAAAGTAATTCCTTTTGCAGTTGCATTATTTTAAAGGAAAAACTTGGTTTTGTAAACAATGAGAATATGTTATAGAATGCATATCTTCTACCTCAAACTTGAAAATCAAAAGTCAGAATTGTTTACCATCAGAAAATTAGGATGGCATCAATCCAGCTGAAATTTTGAGAATCTGAAACCATGAAGCTAGTTCAAGCTAGTGAAAATTCTTAGACTTTTTAATTATAACTGCAGAGAATTCAGACTCAAAATCAACAATGTATACAGTCCTGAAACTGTTATAGGACTTCAACACCCTCTAGGGAAAGAATTCACCAGAGAGACCACTCATTGTAGTTGAATGAGGCAAGGCTTTATTAGAGAGAAATGTGCCTGAAGGACCCAGCTTGGGAAAGAAAGAAAATTTGGCTCCTGAAGGGAGCTGAAAGGTTCTTAAAAGGTCAGACCATGAGGCCAACAGGAGAGCAGCGTCAGGATTTGTTCTGGGTCGTGCTACACTGGGGCACACACAGACTGGATCCATTCCAATTGTGTATATGGGCTTTCTACCTTCTCCTTCCAGGAGATTGTGAGATACTCATTAGTTAGAATCTAACTTTCTTTGTCAATGGTGCTTTATGGTCAGGGCCAAATTAATTGAACAGAGCTCACCAGTCGATTTCATCCACCTATTCATACAGGACTGGGGCAACTCATTCTACCATCTCATAATTTCTTTTACCTAAGCTGTCTCCAGACCTACTTACAATAGGTAAGAATGGAAACAACTCAATGCCCCCAAGTAAATGATTGGATCAAGAAGGTGTGTGTGTGTGTGTGTGTGTGTGTGTGTGTGTGTGTGTGTGTGTAGTGGAATACTACTCAGCAATCAAAAGATACATTCATACCATTTGCAGCATGGATGAGTTGTAAGGAACCATGTCCTAAAATAAGTCAGAAAGAAAAGAAAAGGATCAGATGGTTTCACTTGTAGGAGGAATATAGGGGAACCAAATAAGAGATGAGGAAAAAGTAATAATAAATAAAAAACCAAAATTAACAGGCAACTATAAATCAGAGAGATTCTAGAGGGGAGGGGGAAGGATCAAAACAGTATGGAAGACCACAAGGGACTATGGTTATGATGCACAGGTGAATTGGTGGTGGGAATTTTATGAGGACTACATCTGGGAGGAGTAAGCAAATATTACATAAAAATGAGCAATGGAACACATCTCTGGCCAAGGTGGTGACCTACATGGCATGGCAGACCGCTCCTAAACTGCCCACTGCTCCCCTCAGCAGTGTTTAGTCAATCTGTCTGTTCTACTCTCTTCTCTGTCTCTACTGAATCCTCTCACCTCCCACACCTCTGACCTGTACACCAGTTCTGTAGGCATAAATAAATAAACCTTTAAAAAAATAAAATACCTGGACTTCCAGAAGATGGCGGCAGGGTAAAGAAGCTGAGATCACTTCATCCAGGCTTGCATAGGAATTGAGGACTGAAAAAGGACTATAGACTTAATTACTGCAAATTTCAACCCAAATGAAAACACCCTGAAATCACTAGAAGGTAGATAACGGGGAATCGGCGATTGGGGAGTTCCCAGAAGGGAAAACCCAGGCGCCTGGAAGTTCAGCAGGCTGCAGGAGCCGCTTTGCCCCACGCTAAACCCTGGAGGTGAAGAGGGACGGCTCAGCTTAGTTAGTGGAGCCCAGGCTGCAGAAAGACTGCAAATCTGATCCTCAATACCTGGGTGAGGGAAAAACCGCTGAAACTGCAGACCCAATCAGGAGTACCAGGGCGCCAAGCCGCTGATCAGCTCGACCAGCTCGTGAACTGGCAGATGGCGGCAGAATAAAGCCGCCTAGATGACTACTTCCAAACTCGAATGGATTATATAAAAACGGACTATAGACTTTCATGCTACGAGTTTCAACCCAAATGAGAACGCTCTGGACTCATAGAAGGAAAATAACCTAGGGAGAACCGGTGATTGGGGAGTTCCCATAAGGGAAGCTGCACAAGCAGGATTAGCTGAACCCTGCAATGCTGATCAGAACGCCAGCGGCTTCCAACTCGCTCGGCTCCTTTAAAAATCTAGGTGCCCGGATGCCAGGAAGCGCTGCTGAGGGAAACTGCCTGAGGCGGTAGCTGCAGTGCTGGGCAGCCTTTTGTCCCAGCCCTGCT